CACTCCTATAAAAGTTGTGTCTGCTTCAAAACAACATGCCTTAGTATACATGGTCAATAAACTCTTGATTACTTTATAGCCTTAAAGATGACCTGCAAACCAATGGGATTGAAATGAAAGTCTTCATTAGGAAATAAAAATTCAGTAAATGTTTTCTCTACCCCTACAAAACTGATAGCTGGATTGAAGGTTTTAAAAATACTAATGGAAGTGGCAGCCAAATGCACACATCAGACAATACTTTTGCTGCTCCTACATAAACTTTAGAAACTTGTATCTAGAATCTGGATCACTTAGGTCTTTCTTTCTTACACTTTTATGACCTCCCATGTTTAGGGCAAGTAAGCATATTTATACTTCCCGGGTGGAACAAAACAAAACAAAAAATCACTAGGAAACAACTAATTTAATTAGCAATAAAACTCTTGTGGAGAAAGCCACAGTGAGACACAGCCACAGAAAGTCAATAACTATGTGAGATTAGCACATGATGACCTGAATTTTCTATTAAAAAAAAAAAAGAGAACAAAAATATTGTTTTTCTATTAAAAAAAGAGAACATTTAATATTGCACAAGATGAAAATATCTGTCTATCTCAGGGGCGTGCAAACTTTTTGGCCTGAAGGCCACATCGGGTTTCCAAAATTGTATGGAGGGCTGGTTAGGGGAGGCTGTGTCTCCCCAGACAGCCAGGCGTGGCCTGGCCTCTGCCTCCTATCCGACCCCCCTGCTTCTCGCCCACTGACAGCTCCCCTGGGACTCCTATCCCATCCACAACCCACTGTTCCCTGTCCCCTGATTGCCCCAGAACCTCTGCCCCTGACTGCCCCCCGCCACCCCATCCAACCCCCCTGCTTCCTGACTGCCCCCTGGAAACCCTGCCCCATCCAACCCCCCGTTCTCCGCCCTCTGACCGCCCCAATCCCATCCACACCCCCAATCCCTGACCACCACCCCCCAATTCCCCTGCCCTCTATCCAACCCCCCCGCTCCCTGCCCCCTTACCACGCCGCCCAGAGCACCGGGTCAGGTCGCAGCTCTGCAACTGCGCTGCCCGGCCGCCCAGAGCGTTGTGCCAGCGGCGTGGCGTGCTGAGGCTGTGGGGGAGGGGGAACAGCGGGGAGGGGCTAGGGACTAGCCACCCGGGCCAGGAGCCGGGCAGGAGGGTCCTGCGGGGCAGATGTGGCTCACGGGCTGTAGTTTGTCCACCTCTGGTCTAGCTCTAGCTAAAAATGCTGCAACATGCTTCTCACCCATCTTTATTTGAGAAACAGTAACTCCTCACTTAACGTTGTAGTTATGTTCTTGAAAAATGCGACTTTAAGTGGACTATAAGGTGGATAGAAAGTTGGCTAGATTGTCGGGCTCAACGGGTAGTGATCAATAGCTCCATGTCTAGTTGGCAGCCGGTATCAAGTGGAGTGCCCCAAGGGTCGGTCCTGGGGCCGGTTTTGTTCAATATCTTCATAAATGATCTGGAGGATGGTGTGGATTGCACACTCAGCAAATTTGCAGATGACACTAAACTGGGAGTAGAGGTAGATACGCTGGAGGGTAGGGATAGGATACAGAGGGCCCTAGATAAATTAGAGGATTGGGCCAAAAGAAATCTGATGAGGTTCAACAAGGACAAGTGCAAAGTCCTGCACTTAGGACGGAAGAATCCCATGTACCGCTACAGACTAGGGACCGAATAGCTAGGCAGCAGTTCTGCAGAAAAGGATCTAGGGGTTACAGTGGACGAGAAGCTGGATATGAGTCAACAGTGTGCCCTTGTTGCCAAGAAGGCCAATGGCTTTTTGGGATGTATATGTAGGGGCATTGCTAGCAGATCGAGGGACGTGATCATTCCCCTCTATTCGACATTGGTGAGGTCTCATCTGGAGTACTGTGTCCAGTTTTGGGCCCCACACTACAAGAAGAATGTGGAGAAATTGGAAAGAGTCCAGCGGAGGGCAACAAAAGTGATTAGGGGACTGGAACACATGACTTATGAGGAGAGGCTGAGGGAACTGGGACTGTTTAGTCTGCAGAAGAGAAGAATGAGGGGGGGATTTGATAGCTGCTTTCAACTACCTGAAAGGGGGTTCCAAAGAGGATGGATCTAGACTGTTCTCAGTGGCAGCTGATGACAGAACAAGGAGTAATCGTCTCAGGTTGCAGTGGGGGAGGTTTAGGTTGGATATTAGGAAAAACTTTTTCACTAGGAGGGTGGTGAAACACTGGAATGCGTTACCTAGGGAGGTGGTGGAATCTCCTTCCTTAGATATTTTTAAGGTCAGGCTTGACAAAACCCTGACTGGGATGATTTGGTTGGGGATTGGTCCTGCTTTGAGCAGGGGGTTGAACTAGATGACCTCCTGAGGTTCCTTCCAACCCTGATATTCTATGATTCTAAGTGAAACGATGTTAAGCGAATCCAATTTCCCCATAAGAATGAATGTAAACGGGGGGGGGGGGGTTAGTTCCAGGAAAACTTTTTTTTGTCATACAGTACAGTACTATAAGTTGGGAGGTACCCCCACCTTACCCCACACAGGCACAGCCCACTGGCACTGGAGACAATGAGGCAGGCAAGGAGGCTGAAGGTGCTGTAGGCTAGGAGAAGCATGTTGCGCAGCCAGCAGCTTCCCCTACTCTGCAAGCACCAGGGGTGGGGGAGGGGGGGGCTTAACCCTCGACCCACGCACTCCACCCCTTCCCCCAAGCCCCCACCCTTAACCCGCCTCTTCTTTCCCCCCATTTTTACTCTGCATGCCACGTCCTTGCTCCTCCTCGCTCCCTCCCCTGCCTTCTGCCCACGGCAATCAGCTGGTTTGCGGCATTCTGTAGGGAGGGATCAGGAGCAAGGACTTGGCATGCGGGCTCCCCCTCCCTCCCTCCCTCCCCTGCCTCTCAAATGCCGCAAGCCAGCTGATTGCCGAGGACAGGAGGCAGGGGAGGTGCGCCACGTCCTCACTCCTCCCCCTCCCCGCAGCAATCAGCTGGTTTGCGGTGTTTGGGCGGCAGGGGGAGCCTGCACGCTGAGTCCTTGCTCCTCCCCCCTCCCTACAGAATGCCGCAAGCCAGCTGATTGCTGCGGGCAGGAGGCAGGGGGAGGAGGGGGAAGGCACTGATCCACGGGGTCTGCCTGCGGGCGGGAGGCATTGTGGGGTGGAGGAGACGTGGAGGGGATCTGATAGGGGGACTGCCAGCTGTGGACAAAGCAGGCAGTCAAACAATGTTATAGCGAAGCATTGCACAACTTTAAATGGAGCATGTTCTGTAATTGACCACGGATGTAAGATTGAAACAATGTTAAGTGAGAGGATGTTAAGTGGGGCATTACTGTACATAGACCATGGAGATTATAACCCGCTATGCAGTGATCTGCTTTTATGAACTTGGCTTCTCTCCTGGAGCATCTCAGGCTCAAAACTCTTACAGATATGCCAGAAAACAAGAGAAGCTGCATTTAAGGAAATTAGAGCCAACAGGGCCCTACATTAGAAAATGGTCCAGCTGCAGAATTGAGCCTTCGCTTTGATCCTCCTCATCTCCTGGAAAACTACTAACATGGCCCTCAGCTGAACAAAGTTTCGCTATTCCTGAACTCACCAGTTTTAAGAGCTGCCAGCCCATATGAACTTTATACAATTATACATACCTCTTACATAGAGTGAGATTTTCATGATCTCATTACCTCATGCGGAGAAAACTCCTTTGCACCACCACAGCAAGAATAGAGTTCTCTAGACTTCTGAATGTTGGACCCATTATATTTTTGTTTTCCTCACATCTCTTTCCCTGAAAAACTTACCCTCCAACTTCACACAACAGATAATTTACAATAAACTTGGTTATTTGATTTGCAGTGATTGGCACTACAGAAAAAAACAGATATTGTTTAGCTTCTAGGTTTCCAAGCACTGAAAGCACAAATAAGAGTTGGTTTCTTGGTTTTTTTGGGTCTCCGCCCTTTCCTCAAAAGAAATGGGAAATCTTGACAGAGTAAAGAATTGCAAGGCATTTTTGAGATTGTTTTGCTTGTGGTGGGGTGGATAAAGCATCACACATGAAACTGACAGCACTTAAAGTCCCATTCAGAACAGAAAATCCCTCATCAGACAAAGTTAGAAAGATGTGATCCTACACTACTCCATCCCTCCCCGTTCAGCACTCTGGACTCTGCACCATGAGGACTTCCCTGCTGAAAAGCCATCTCCTCATTTTCTATCACCAGCCCTGCTCACTCCCTGGTTCCTTCTCAGTAATCAAGGAATACAGCATCCTCCCTTGAATCCCCAGAGTTTTCATGGCCTTCCATCGCAAGTCTCCCATGCCTCCCCATGACAGACAGCTGCCTCGCTCAAACCCAGAAACCCATCTGCCACTCCCTACCCTGGACCACTAGGCCTATGCCTCTAAATTCACCTCTTCCCTAATCTGCAGGCTCCTAAATGTACCCGGTTTCTAACTCCAGCAACTCCTGCCCCCAGCAACCTAGGGTAAAAATCTGTTCCCCCAACTGCCTTCACTTCCCACATTGCCCAACCACACAGCCCACTGCTATCCTATTCCTTGCTCCTCTAGACATCCCCAGCCTAGCGCAGCCCCAGCCTCTTGATCCCAGCAACCCTCTCTCCATGTTCAGCCCCATCCAAACAACACCGTTGCCCCCTCCTGCCCGTCCCAGCCCTCCCGATCCCTGCCCCTCCCATCCCAGCCCCCCAATCCCTGTCCCAGCCCAGCCCCACAATCCCTGCCCCTCAATCCCTGCCCCAGCCCCTCAATCCCTGCCCCAGCCCCCGATCCCTTCCCTCTCCTACTCCAGCCCCCCCCACCTCAGCCCAGCCCCCTCTTGCCCCAGCCCCCACCTGCTCTGGTTCCAACCCGCCCAGGCCCCCGCCCCATTCAGCGCCAGCCCCGCCCCCAGCAGCCCTACCCCGCAAACCGCGGCCTGGCTCCCGCTGCCCTGGCCCCGCGGCAGGCCCGGGGAAGCGCGGCGCGCAGCGCTCACCTGACGGAACCCAAGCAGCTCCAGGGCTGATGATGGAACTAACAGCGAGGCTAAAGTCCCCACCCTCCCGCTCCCGCGGATTGGCCGCTTGCCGCGGCTCTTGTTGCTACCCGGAAGTATGATTTTCGATTGGTTACGACGTTTGTGACGTCACGGGCTTGATAAACCGGCCGCGTCACGTGACTGTGGAGCGCGAGAAGCACATGTCAATGTTTTGGTTGGCGGCGGAGAGGCCCGGCTCCGCTCTGTGAGCGGGCTGGGCGGGACAGGGGGCGTGTCCCGGGTTCTGAGGCAGCAGGAGCCGCGGCACCGCGGGAGTCTGTTCTCTAAGGGTCCATTGTGACGTCACCAGACCAAGCCCCCTTCCCTAGGGTCGCGAGCTGGAGGCTCGGCCTCGCCCCAGGGTGACTGGTGTGGGGCAGCGGCTCCCCCTGAGCCCCCTAGCGGTAAGGCTGGGGCGGTAACGGGCCACCCCGGTTGCCAGAGCCTTTCTGCTCGGGCTCGTTTCCAGCCCGCACGTGGCTTGGTGCCTGGGCTCCTGCTCGGGAGAGCTGGGCGCGCAGAGGAGGGGTTGCTCTTGGTAGGGGCGGTTTGCTGGGTTTGAACTATCCAGGTTGCTGTCTGTGTACTTATGTTAGAGAAAGTCAGGACAAAGCAATGCGCTTGGAGCAAGAGGTGGTGAGGTTTGTGAATGGCCCTAGTTCCTGGGGTGGCTAGTTCCACGCTCTCAAGCCTGCCCTGAAAGGTGTGTCTGCACTGCAATTAAAAACCCAGGGCTGGCCCATGCCAGCTGACCAGACCTCCCAGCGCTCTGGGGCACCATTTCAGATTGCGGGGCAACTTTAACTGTGATTCCAAACACTAGTTGGGCACCTGAAAACTTTCTTGTTTTTTTTTTTTAAGATAATAACTTAGATACAGTGCTCCTGTCAGATAATAATTTCCAATTCCTATATAAAGAAAGAAAATTAAATAAATATTAGACCCACTCAGCTCTAATACGAAGATGTTCTGACATCTTGTGTCAATTCACTTAAGGGATGCTGGTTCAGTTTAAAAAATTTAATGTATATTTTTACTTTGTTACTAACTCTTGAATAGAACAATTGAAACAATTGTAGAAAAGACTAGATTACTTTCTATCACATTTTTGCAGTTCATCAAGCTTGGAATAGATCATTTAACTTTTGGAAACATCTTATTGGGGCAAGGCCCTGTGAGTTTATACTGCTCCAGCTTGGGGCTCTAGGGGTGTTACCCCACTACAAATAATAGACTAGAAAATGACTTTAGCAGGAGTGAAACTGACACTCTCAAGTCATTTTCATAGTATTGCCAACCCCAAATGTTCAAAAATCAAGAATCAGGCTCACCAAAAAACATGAGATTGGCTTTAAAATAATGAGAGTATGTAAAAATAATAGATTTGGTGTTCTTTTTATTTACATTCTGCTTTTTGAGCCTTTAAGGTGCACTGGTGTCACATTTTGAAGCTTCTCCACAGCCACAAGGGCTAGAAACTTCATTATTTTTTTTTAAAGAATGAAGGCTGAAATCATTACATATCACTTGACTCCAGCAGCTGGGACTTTAAGGAAAACAGTTATCATGAGACTCATGACAAAATCATGAGTTAGCAACACTGCTTTCTGTTTAAAGGCTAGTTACTTTCCAGAAGGCTCTTAAACACAACACTGCAGTGATTGAGTTGCAGTTTTCACAGGAGAATATTTTAAATCAAACACCAAGAAAATTCAATGTTTTGAAGTTGGGGAAAAAATTGAGACTTCTGAGGTATATCAGGGCCACTGCAGGCAGGAAAGGAAAATAAACAGGCACAGGAGCTCTAGGCAGCTCCTCTGTGAAAGAAAGTTGGAGGGTCAAATCTTCTAGTCCTTAATCAAGTAAAACTTCTGTTGCCCTCAGTGCCTCCATTCATAGATATAAACATCACAGTGACCATGTGTGGTCAATAACTGTACACTTCATACTTAAATATCTGAGCCATCTTATCCAGAGTTACACGTTTTGTATGCATTGGCTCAGGGACTACATTTTCTTGCATATTCTGAACAGTGCTGAGCGCACAGATTGTGCCCAGTGAATAACACAAATCATGACAATAATGGTCGATTTTATGGACTTTGTGGATAAAATTTCTGTTCTTTGGCCTGAATACAGCTGAAACCCTAAGAATTTGATGTATAATTACATCTGATACTCAGACGACACTTTCTCATTCCTTCCTTTTCTCAAACTCAGAACAAAAAAGGACAAAACAAAATGGTTTTCAGTTAAAATCTAAAATTGCAAAGCAGGCATTGCTGTACAACTCAGCCTGGGGCAGAACCTGCCACCCATTGGCAGTTAAGTGCTCTCCTCTCATCTGACTCTCATTCTCTTACTTTCTTCATCCTTCCTGACCTCTTTGTTGCTTTTGATACTGCAACCATGACATTGTTCCCAATCACCTGGGACCATGTGCTGGAGTCCCAGAGAACTGGCCTTCTTGTTTTTTCTCCCATCCATCAGAGGCCTGTTTTACGCAGCATGCAGCCAAGAGAAAGGCTAGTCCAGTGGATAGGGAGCTAGCCCTCAGAGACCTGGGTTCTATTCTCCCCTCCACCCTGCATGGACTTCTTGCATGACCTCAGGTCAGTGCCTTAGGGACAGAGTTTAAAATGTTTTTAGGCACTCAAAGATGTAGCTAGGGTATCTAATGGGGTTTACAAAGCATGTAGCCTTTTAGGCACTTTTGAAAATCCCATTAGGTGCCTAAAGACTTTTGAAAATCTGGCTGTTAGTCTCTCTGTGCCTCAGTGCCCCATCTGTACACTGGGGATACTGCTCTGCCTCACCAAGGGGATGTGATGTGAGGCGCTCAGATACTACAGTGATAGGGCTATATAAGTACCAGAGGTAGAGTGGGAACTTCTTTATACCACTGCTATCCCTTCCCTAGGTTTTGGCCCCTTCTTTTCACTTATGGCCCTCATATATTCCTCTTTTTTGAATGTAACCCCGTTGGCTCAGAAGGCTTGGCTGTATCTCTCTTCAACTCCATTTCCCCCCAAGGGATTCCTGTTTTACAGGTTCATTTAAGGACTGCCAGATCCTTAATTTAATTATCAGCCTTGTCTTATCTTAATCACCCTGCCTCTGTTTGTAAACAAAACACTGACTCCCTGCCCCAGGGACACAAGCTGGGAGAAGCACCTCTCTGCAGAACTCATATTCCGCACTATTTTTGAGCAGTTAAGAGCTCTGCCTGGAAGCACACCACTTGTATGAAACTCCGGGGGAGGTGGGTCAGTAGCCCCCCTCTGCCCTATCTAAATGGCACCCTTGCCGGTGCTTGGGCTGTGAGTAGGGTTACCACCTGGTCGTAACACCTGGTAACTGCGGTGTAGACATTCAAGCTTGGGCTGGAGACCAGGCTGTAGGACCTTGTGAGGGTCTGAGAGCTCAGGCTGGAGCCTGAGGCTGAATGTCTACACTGCAATTAACTTGCATCTTAGCCCAAGCCCTGTGAGCCTGAGTCAGCTGGCATGGGCTAGCCACACGTTCTTAGCTGCAGTATAGACATACCCTAAGACAGACTACTGTACCCCTTTCCAGACTACCCCTTTCAGGTGTCTGATTTGTCTTGTGTACCTCCAAGTTTCACCTCACTTAAAAACTACTTGCTTACAAAATCACACATAAAAATACAAAAGGGTCACAGTGCATTATTATTAAAAAATTGCTTACTTTCTCATTTTTACCATATAATTATAAAATAAATTAATGTGAATATAAATATTGTACTTACATGTCAGTATATAGCGTATAGAGCAATATAAACAAGTCATTGTGTGAAATTTTAGTTTGTATTGATTTCTGTAGTGCTTTTTATCTAGATGAGTTGATGTACTCTCTGGAAGATCTTTGCGTACCCCCAAGAGTACGCGTCCCCCTCGCTGAGAACCATTGCTCTGAGAAAGTTCTGTTTACCACACAAACGAACTTTACCCCATCTTGTGGAGAGTGCCATTGCAACAGAGGAGCATAGTTGTCAACCACAGTCTTCATCCCAGAGCTTTAGGCACTTTGACATGTGCTGTCCTTTCACTGTGGTACCCATCCCCAGTTCAGCACACCAGAACACTGACTGTGTATAGTGAATGCTTGACAAGTGTGTGTGTAATCCAAAACAAGGACTAAAAGGATGTGTAACTGGAGCTATATAAGCAAACTAGTGGAGACACGCAAGCAAGAAAGGGATATATAAATGGAATATTTTCAGGTAAAATTTAGCATTCTACTACCAAGCCCTATTTGGGTATTCTGTGTTACCATTCCCATGCCTAACCATGTTTAGATTTATTGAATAAATCAAATACACAAATATGAAAATATATCCAGTGTTGCCAGTCACTCAACTGTGTTGTAAATTTTACAGAATGTGGTGATTTTCTGAATGCCCCAGCTCTTGCAGTCATGTGATTATGTGAGAATCTCAGTTTTCGTTTCAAAAATGAGTTTCTAGCCCTTATGGTGTGGAGAAAAAATTGAAAAGATGAAGCCCAAAGACTCAAAAACCAAAAGGTAATTAAAAATCATGCAAAATGTATATTTTTAAAATTTCATTGTTAAGCCAGTCTTATATTTTCTGTGGGGACTGATTCATATACTTGGGGATGCCAATACTGCTTTACTCCATCTACCAGTATAGTAGGCCCCAATCCTGCAACTAACTCTCAAAGGAAGTATCCCTGAATTTTCATGAAGTCCCATTGAAATACAGAGCTCTAGCTCACAATCTTGCAATGAGCTCCACAGGGGTATAGAAGTGTGCCTGCACAGAGCTCATTGCAGAATCAGGACTTTAGTGTATATCTATACTTGAAGATGGGGTGTTATTCCTAACTTGAGAAGACATATTTGTGTCAATTCTGATCAAGCTAACATGCTAAAAATAGAATGTAGCCCTGGCACCACAGAAGGGGCTCGCCACCCTGAATATGTACTTAGTGTCTTTGACAGGCACTCCCTTAGGGTGGTTAGGCCCTCCTGCTGGCTAGGCTGCCACAGCTACATGATATTTTTAGCACACTATTT